AAAAGCAGGGCACCGCTTGGGGCTAGACTTTCAAAGTCAATCTGCGTCAAGGACCTCTCAAGCCAATTTGGGTTAAGACCTAGGAAACACCTTCAGAAGTGGTAGACAACAGCTTGAGCATTTCCACTCTGGAATTTTTTTTTTTTTTTTCTTTTGAGATGGAGTCTTGCTCTGTCACCAAGCTGGAGTGCAGTGGCGCAATCTCAGCTCACTGCAAACTCCGCCTCCCGAGTTCAAGTGATTCTCCTGCCGCAGCCTCCCAAGTAGCTGGGATTACAGGTGCATGCCACCATACCTGGCTAATTTTTGTATTTATAGTAGAGATGGGGTTTTCACCATATTGGCGAGGCTGGTCTTGAACTTCTGACCTCAGGTGATCCACCCACCTCAGCCTCCCAAAGTGCTGGGATTATAGGTGTGAGCCACCAGGCCTGGCTGGAATTTCTTAAGATGAAAATCAGCTGGACAAACCTAAGGACAGACAGCCAAGTGCCAGAGGAGGGTAGGGAGTGCAGGCCAGCCTGGGGAGCAGAACTCAGTGGGGCAGCTGCACGACAAATGTGCTCCAGGAGAGAGAACGAGATGCCCCCAGGGCCTCAACAGGGGTCAGCTGCCTCCCCAAAGCTGTTTCCACAAAACCTCTCAGCAAAGACTGGAGAGAGCTGTAAGTGTCCCTCGCTGTGCATACCTGAGAAAGACCCTCTGCCCTAAGGGCCCTGTCTCCTATTCCCTTCCTAGCTCCAGCTGGTTTCCCATGCCCTAGGGCTAACAGGCTTCTCACCTGCCCTGAATGGTGTCTTCTGTCCCACAGGGGAGACGCTTCCAACTGCAGTCATTGTTGGAGAGCACAGAACTCCTGCTGAAATCTTCTCCCCTATGGGACAGAAGACACCGTTCAGGGACAGTTGAGAAGCCTGTCAGCCTTAGGGCACTGGGGAAACCCCTGTAGCTGGGAAGGAAAAGGAGACCCTGACTGCTGGGGGAGAGGTAGGAAGGCAAGCTGGTTCTAGAGCTACAGCCAAGACCCAGGGACACAGTGTCCACCCACGGCTGGGGTTAATCAAGCAACAGAGTATGTCCCCGACCCCACTGCCAGCCAATAAGCACTGGGCAGTAGGACACAGTGGACTCATGCATGTGTGGCAGAACCACTCAGCACGACGGAGGAACAGCCTGCCTGACCATGCGGAACTTCATCTGTGAACGAAAGATATTTTCTTTTCTTTTTTTTTGAGACAGAGTTTCGCTCTTGTTGCCCAGGCTGGAGTGCAATGGCATGATTTCAGGCTGGAGTGCAGTGGTGTGATCTTGGCTAACCACAACCTCTGCGTCCCAGGTTCAAGTGATTCTCCTGCCTCAGCCTCCCGAGTAGCTGGGACTGCAGGCATGCACCACCACACCCAGCTAACTTTGTATTTTTAGTAGAGACAAGGTTTCTTCATGTTGGTCAGGCTGGTCTCAAACTCCGAAACTCAGGCAATCCACCCGCCTCGGCCTCCCAAAGTGCTGGGATGGCAGGCGTGAACCACCGCGCCCGGGCAGGATATTTTCACATTGGGTAATCTAGAATAGCACATTACTAAGCCAAGGAGGGAAAATGTGGTCACCTTAACAGACAAGAATAATTCAACATCCATTCCTGCTAGAGGTTCTCTGTGACCAGGAACAGGAGAGTATGTCTTTAACGTGAGAAAACAGCCGTTGCCATTGTTCCTGGCAGCCTCTCGTAAAATCACAAGGACGGCCCTTGGTATCCGTCCAGCATCGCCCTGGGGGAAGGAAGCCATAGCACAGTCAAAAGGCAAACTGGAAAATAATATGAACTCAAACCAGGAAGCACTTCTAGAAATCCAGGAGGGAAAAACCAAGAGTCCCACAGAATAAAGGGCAATGAGCTGAACAGAACAGAAAAGCAAACAAGCAAATGGCCCTTGAACACATCAAGAGAGGCTACAACTTGGTCAAAATGTCAAAGTGCAAATTAAAACCATGCTGAGATCCTCTTTCTTGCCTGAGTAGTGGAAATCTCAACGTGTGGCCAGCTCCTGCTGGGAGGCTGCAGGGAAGGGGCACTTCCACATATTTTCTGGTGCAGGAACGACATAGAACCATCCACAAACAGCATCTGGCAACGCCCACCAGCACCACGACAGAGGTGCTTTGACGCTGCAGTCTTGCTTCTGGGTATCTATCCACACATAAGATATGGAAGGGCTGGGTGTGGTGGCTCACACCTGTAATCCCAGCACTTTGGGGGGCCAAGGCGGGTGGATCACGAGGTCAGGAGGTCAAGACCATCAGGGCCAACTGGTGAAACCCCATCTCTACTAAGATACAAAGAAAAAAAAATTAGCTGGGCATAAGCATGGTGGCGTGCACCTGCTACTTGGGAGGCTAAGGCAGGGGAATCACTTGAAACGCACGTTGCAGTGAGCTGAAATCGTGCCACTGCACTCCAGCCTGGAGACAGAGTAAGACTCCGTCTCAAAAAAAAAAAAAGAGATGATGGGAGAACAAAGTTTTTCACAGCACATGGTGGCATTGCTTTTAATGGCAGAAGACTAGAAACTACACGGCTGAGCACCAGGAAGCCAGCAGGAGAAGCCAGGCAGCTGCGTGGGGGAGATCCAGGCAGCTACGTGGGGGAGATCCACACAGCGTGGAGAGGAGTGAGGATGGTGTCTTGGGTGGACACACTGAGGTCCCCATCGATTGGATAAACCCGAAAAGCCAAGGTTCAGAACAAGGTTCAGATCACGACCTTTTGTGAAACTGTATGTTGTACGGGTATAAAAGTAAATATTCATATCTACTTGCACAAGAATCTAATGCAAATGGCACCTGCAGGAGCAAGAAGCAAGAAGACAGGGGCCGCGGGAGGGGACTCGCAGTGAGGACCCTTTCAGCTAACTGTGACTGTGGATCCATGTCACTGTATTACCTCTTCCATTAAAAGCCCTTTAAATAAGAGGAAATGAATACTTTAGAAATACAAATTCGTTATCCAAACATGAATCCCTGGCATGACTAACGATGATACTGATACATGACTGACAGTAAGGATAATTTTCCTTAAAAAACACACACATAGTGCTATCTGCAGGGTGTCAGGCCTGGCTGCTGGAGAACATAAATTAGACCCTACCATCCATGTGCACAGTGGGGCAGGGCCAGCCCCTCCTCGAATCACATGGCGCTGGGTGCCCCGCTTCCTCAGAAGATACCCAGGGATTTCCATGGTGTCTTCGCCAAAACCACACACCAGCCAATCTGGACACACGCATTTGACTGCATTCATTTACAAGGACGTGATTCTGCCCTGGCTGACCAGAGCACAACCTTCTTGGGATATGTGCACTTTAACTTTCGTTTGAACTCCATTTTCTTACTAGAAAGACCAATTTGCTTGGTTTAACAAACTGATAACCAGTTCGGAACTCAGCTCTACATACGGGTTTTTTAAAAGTTTTATGTAGTATTATTTCAGAGTGGGTCTTGCTCTGTCACCGAGGCTGGAATGCAGTGGCATGACCATGACTCACTACAGCCTCAACCTCCTAGGCTCAAGTGAGCCTCCCATCTCAGCCTCCTGAGTAACTAGGACTATAGGCACATGCCAACATGCCCAGCATTTTTGTTTGTTTTGATGGTGTCTCACTATGAGGGCTGGCCATGAACTCCTGAGCTCAAGCAATTCTCACATCTTCATCTTGGGCTCCCAAAGTGCTGGGATTACAGGTGTGAGCCACCACGCCTGGACAAAACAAATTTTATAATATTTTTTTTTTTTTTTTTGAGACAAGAGTCTCACTCTTTCACCCAGGCTGGAGTGCAATGGCGCAGTCTCTGCTCACTGCAACCTCTACCTCCCTGGTTGAAGCGATTCTCCTGCCTCAGCCTCCCAAGTAGCTGAAATTACAGGTATGTGTCACCATACCCATCTAATTTTTTTGTATTTTAAACATAGACAGGGTTTCACCATGTTAGCCAGGCTTGTCTCGAACTCCTGACCTCAGGTGATCTGCCTGCCTTGGCTTCCCAAAGTGTTGGGATTACAGGCGTGAGCCACCACACCCTGCCAAGTTTTATAGCTTTAAAAGCCATTTAAATTTCTTTTCTCTTGCTGAATTTAAAAGAAACCAAAGTCCCTCTCGATCTCCCTTTAATGAAAATACATAATAAGCAAAAAGGGGTTCTTTTTAGGGAGCTTCACTAATGCCCCAATGTAAAGCTTGCATAAACCACACTTATCCAAACACCTTTAAGAAAAACAGAAAGCGTTTTTATTAATAAAGTGTCTCATAGGCTAGAGTTAGACTCAGAGCCCAAATGCCGCAAGCAGTTGCATTTGCGATAGCTGAGAACAGCTGTTCCTTCCCCTCCGACTCAGGCTGGCTCATGCTTGACTTACATTTCTCACTTCTGCTTTGCTACATTCGTCTTTGCCGGGGGGCCCCTCAGAAGAGCCCCCAGTGGTCTCCTTAGAGGTGCCATGAACCAGGTTATTTACTCTCTGCACTTTTGGGTGTGGAAAGAGGAGCCCAGAGCAGGGAGCCAAGTCCAGGCCTGGGTGTTGAGTGCCTTCTGATGGTGACATGCTGAGCCGTGATCCTGCTTGGGCGTGGCCTCCTTCTGAAGCGGATTCCTACGGAAGCCCAAACAGGCTGCTGGTCCTGCTTGCTGCTGCCTCACGCACTGGCTACTGATCCAAAAGCTGGTCAAAGGCCCTGGCCATTTTTTCTCTTATTCACATGCCACGACACGGGGCACGTCGACCAACAGAAGATACACCCTTCGGTCCAGGGCAGCTCAGAAGAGCAGTGCCAGAATAGTTCGGGGGCACTTGTCAATACATTGAATACAATTCCACATTGCCCAAACCCTAAGTAGCACTTTGTGTCACCAAATGACAGCATTTTGCTTGATAGATTTCAGTTTTTTAAAGTTGATTATTAAAAAGAAAAATAAGGATGAATATAAAAGTAGAAAGCTGCATTTTAGTCTTGAACTATTTCTTCCAAAGGTTTATTATGCATTTCCTTTGAATATAAATTACCATCAGCTCAACTTTTAAATTCAAATTCCTGAAGTATGACTCCACTACTTCCTGAAAACTTATAAACCAAAGTATAGAAAAATAATCCCATTTGTGTATTTTCTCAAAATAAGAGAAAAATTAAATTTCTCAAATTAAGTAAGATCAGGATCTAGTGTCTACAATAAGATTCAGTAACAATCACACGTAGAGACCTTCTAAAACTTCACAAATGATCTTACAATCTCTGCCAAATGCTTACCTGTCTTGTAAGACTTCAATTCGTACTGAAAAGAGATAAAGTGTCGCAATATGAATGAAAAGTCTATTTCCCTGCACTTTCCTCACAAGAAAAACCAAGTGCACACATTTGAAAATAAAAAATCCAAATGCTTATGATTTTTCCATGTGTGAATTGAACTGCACAATCCATACACTTATGGAAAAAATATGTGATTTTTTTAATGATTTATGTATAAAAGAAAAATAAACGTTATGATACAATTTGACAGACTACTTCATAAAAAATTTTACTTACATACAATGTATGCAATTTTTTGCAACCCTCAAATTCTATTTATATATACAAATTCATAAAAAGCGGACATCTTAACTTGAAGTGAGGCAGGGGCCATTCAGGCTCACGGCTAAGTCATCTGATTCAGTAGAAAAGAGATTATAAATACATGAAGGACTACTTAACTAATGTCCCTCTGCTCCCCCAAAATGTATTTAATATAATCTGATCAAACAGAATTTTATGGTGCACTGTAGGAAGAAGAAAACCAACATTTCAGAATGGCAGATCTTAATAACCTGCTCCTGAACTTACTCAGCTCAGAAAATCACTAAATTACCTTAGTACGGAATTCATTTTGGAAACTGTATGAAGAAAAACCAAACCGTGCCATTTATGCTAATCCTTAAAGAAACAAAACCTGGCTGGGTGCAGTGGCGCACGCCTGTGATCCCAGCACTTTGGGAGGCCGAGGTGGGTGGATCACAAGGTCAGGAGGTCGAGACCATCCTGGCCAACATGGTGAAACCCCGTCTCTACTAAAAATACAAAAATTAGCTGGGTGTGGTGGCGTGCACCTGTAGTCCCCGCTACTCAAGAGGCTGAGGCAGGAGAATCCCTTGAACCGGGAGGCGGTGGTTGCAGTGAACCGAGATGGTGCCACTGTACTCCAGCCTGGGCAATAGAATGAGACTCTGTCTCAATAAAAAAGAAACAAAACCAAGCAATTCTCACAATTTAAATGGCACTCCTTAGTTTACATAATAAACACACTATCAAGAAATAAAGGTATTAGGATCCAGACCTTAAGATCTCTAAGTATGTCTTCAAACACAGTGAAATGCTTCATACAATAACTCAAGACTCTGCTGAGTATTTACAATAGTCTCTGTAAGTGAAAAACTATAAACCATGTTTTTTTATAAAACCTTTGATTTAAAAAACAATTTCCAAAAAAAATGGCTAACATCAAAAAAATGTTGTAAATCAGTGCATCCTTTCACGTCTTCCTTATGTAGTTTTTCTAAGCTCCCGTCTCTCAGGTGTGCACATATGCAAAGGAAAAGGCATGATGCCAATGCCTCGCAGAGCAAGCCCCTCTTGAGGAGGACAAGGACTCCAAGGAGCTGTGCTGGCCTGTCCAAGGACCACCAGGGTAAGATGCTGAAGAGAGCGAGGATGTGGCCCATGACAATTTCCAGATAATGTCCACAACAGCCACACTGAAATCTCCTTTGAAAATTTATGAACTTTGAGGACTAGAAACATAAGCAAAAGATAATAGAGAACAAGGAGAAAATTACATAGAGAAGTACATGCAATTACAAAAGAGGTCAAAAAACAAAAGCAATCCAGTTGATTCGCAACTTATATGGAGACAGGCTGAGATTAGCCCTTTCAAATGGAAATTAAAAATATAATGTATTCATTTTCAGGCCTCATTCTACTTATAAAGTGCCTATCGGAAAGTACACAGTCATCCTTCATTCGGCAGTGACCTCTGAAAGTCTTTCCACTAAACCAAAATAAAGGACCACTGTTCCCTTGGTATGCCAACACCACTTACCTGCTAGAGAGTTCTGGTACAGAGCTAAACAGGATGAAGCAGAAACACAAAGAACAGGCTTTCAGAAAAACTTTTCAGAGGTGTTTGGAAGCGCTATTTATAACTAGCCAGGATTTCATCTGGAAGGAGGTAAGAAAACATGTTTGTTTTTAATACACTTAACATGCTTACAGTTTTAAAGCTCTGAAAATTAGCTGGATAATAACATTGTAAACTGTTCATTTTCTTAGCAAACTGGAACTTAAAGAGTAACGATTTTCTGTCTTCCTTTTTGCTTTTAAACTGGGGTGACTTTTCATCTCTGAAACTTCTGAGTGTTCACCTTCGCGAGGTCGAATTGATACTATACACCATTTTCTGGATTTTCTCCTCATTCCTGAGGATGTTGGCCTTCACCGCGCAGATCTTGTCCTGCTGGTCTTTGATCAGCTGCTCCAGCTCCGCCAGCTCAGCCTTTAAGGGCTCCACGGCACAGTCTGTGATACTGAGGGAGAACAAAACCAGCGGCTTGTCACTCATCACAGTGTGTGTGGGCTTCTTAATTCAGACATTGAAAGACAACAAAAGCGAATTATTCATTTCATCCAAAGAAAAGGATAAAATGTATTCTTATTTCCAAGACCCCCGCCACAACCAAAAGTGAAGTCAAACATGAGATTTATAAAAGCAGTAGTTAACATTTCTTCAATGATAAGCTTGAAGTCCTTAAATTATATAAAGAACAGCCTCTGGGACAAGAACATATGCAGCAAAGTCGCCATCCACTTTGGGAACCCCACTCTGCTACTGCCCAAATCTCCTGCTGCAGGACCCTCCCCCCATGACTACCCCCCTTCACTACGACCCCCTCTGCTCCTGCTGCAGGGCCTCCTCCCCATTACTCCCCTGCTCTGCAACACCCCCACCTCTGCTCCTGCTGCTGGGCCCCCTCCCCATTACTACCCCCCTCCAATACCCCTCACCTCTGCTCCTGCTGCAGAGCCTCAGCGTGCTGCCTGTTCTCGGCATGCCACAGCTGCAGCTCATTCTGCATGGCATCCACATCTTCCTGGATATAGTCCATGATCTTCCCCAAGGGAAGTGCGCTCTTGCACAGGGTCTGGATGGACATGCGGAGCTTCTCTATCTCCTTGGAAACGATGTCCTTCTCCTTCTTCCACGCCGACTCAAAGACGAGAGATCTCTCCTATAGTCAGGGAGACATGGGAAGAGGAACACGCCTCCTCAGTCCAAAGGTAATACAGGCGCTGGTGCACTCAGCACACGGCCACAGGGGTGGGAGGGAAGGCGCAGGCAGGGACAGTGCTGGCTGTGGGACACCCACTCCCATGCAAAGGGAGAGCTATGCCGCCTGACAGAGTGGCCCTGAATGCTGCATGCCATCAGTGGACACGGCAGTGCCAGGGAGGGGCCACTCCTTCTCTGCTTGATGGGAACGGGGGTCTGTCTTTACCTGGAAATCCATCTGAGAGCAAATCTCTATACTGGCAGATTTTAGTTCCCAACAAACAAGCAACTTTTGTAGCTAGTGTTACAAGAGCTTAGTGACATGGAAGATTTTTCCCAAATGAACTGGCAGAAAGAGGGTCTGACCCTACAGCTACTCGAATGGCCCACCTTCCATCTCAAATGACTCCAAAACCCAGCATGCAAGGAGGAAAAGGGAAAGAAACCCAAAGGAGAGGCAGAAACTGGTGCCATGGAAAGGAAGGCATGGAGAATGTGCAGGGGAACCAGTGCCAGCAGCACCCAGTGGCACCCAGCAACAGCCAGCAGGCAGACAGGTCGACTTAGAACTGTGCTGGTCACTCAGAGAGGCCAGAGTCCGGGGGCCAGGGGCCAGGTGGAAGGGGCAGGGCTGAGACAGCAGCAGGTGAAGGAGGTGAGGAGGATGCAGAGACCAGTGGAGAGCCGCATTCGGCTTTGGCCAGGAGTTCTTGGGTTCTTTGACAAGCAACATTTAGAATTCTCATCACATGAGCTTTCATCACAGACATCTCTGAATGTCAAAAACTGATGAGAGTTGATAAGAATCAAGCTTGGGAAAATCAGCATGGGTTCTTTCTTCCTCTTTCCTTTCTTCTCTCTTTCTTTACAGACAGGGTCTCGCTGTGTTGCTCAGGCTGCTCTCAAACTGCTGGGCTCAAGTGATCCTCCTGTCCTGGCCTCCCAAAGCACTAGGTTTACAGGTGTGAGCCACGAGGCCCTGCAACAATGTTTCTTTAGGAAGCCCTCCCTGGATACCTCACCGCACTCCAGACTGGCTAAGGTGCCCTTCCTTGCCTCACCCACTTACAGAATGAACTAGTAAATGCATTAAGTTGTAATCAATTAACTCATTTAGTTTGAACCTACCATGGCTACATCACTTGTATTAATTCTACTAGTTTCAGGCTGTGGGCTCAGGAGGGCAGGACCTTGTGTCTAGATTCATTGTGGTTCAAATAAGCTCTGATGAAGAATTTGTGAAATGAACTAATGCAGTGGATAAATGATTTATGTATCAAGATCCTAGTTCCACCACTTACTGGCTTGGACAACTACAAGAAAGCTTTAGCATAATGTCTGGTACATAAAGTGTTAAATAATTGGGACTTTAAATAAAAAGTAAAACTCATACAACTAGTGAGTTCTGCAAGGTTGTAGTACACAAGATGAGCATATGAAAATCAACTGTATTACTATGTACAAGCAATGAGCATGTGAGGGAATGTGTTCTCTTTCCGGGTCCAGAAGGGGGCGAGTTTTAAGGGCAAGAATTTCCCAGTGCCATGCCCCCCCTCCCATTTCCCTCCATCAGGAGATTTAACTGTTTATGTTTAAATTTCGGGGACGCGGGAAGAAACTAAGTCCATCGCTCCAGCAGAAGACTTTTCGTTGGCCTGGGGTCTTAGAGAAGGTGGTGGTGGGGGGGTTCCTGCCAGGTTAAAAGTCCCCTTCTTTCACACCCCTTCAGAATCCATGTTTGGGTCCCCTTCCACAAACACTCCCTTCATGGAAGCCCTCTTTCTCTCTCTTGGATCTCCCCTCGGGAGTCCCCCTTCCTCACTCTCGTGGAAGCCTGTCTCCCCTCCTAAACTCCATCTCTCTCCTTTCCCTTCCACTCAGTGTAGAAGCTGCTTTCCTCTCCTGGATTCCATCTTTCTGGATTCTCTCACTCAGTGTAAGAGTTAGCTGTTCCTTCTCCTGTTTCTCTCTCTCTTTAAATAAATCACTTTCTACAAACACGTTTGAGTCCGGCATTGTCCCCTCTCTCATTCTTGAGAGTGCAGGAGACCAGGAACCTGGAGAAACAACCTCTCAGAGGAGCTGAGGGCACCCTGAATCCCTGAACCCCAATATTACACATGGACGCTGAAATTAAAAATACAGTGCCATTTACAATTGTTCAACAGAAGACAATGCTTAGTTGTAAATCTAACAAAACACGTATAGGACTTGGAAATGGAAAACCAAATGATTCAGATGAAAGAAATCAAAGGAAATCTAAATAAATGGGAAGACACACTGTGTCCATGGATTGGAAGACTCCACATAGTAAAGACATCAATTTTCCCCAAATTGATATGTATGTTTAATGCAAATCCTACCAAAACCCCAGCCAACTTTTCTGTATAGACAAGATTATCCTAAAATTTATATGGAAAGGCAAAGGAACTACAATAGTTAAAACATTTTCAAAAAAAGAATAAAGATAGAACTAACCAGTCTACTCAATTTCAAGGCTTTTTTTTTTGAAATGGAGTCTCACTCTGTCGCCCATGCTGGAGTATAATGGCATGATCTCGGCTCACTGAAACCTCTGTCTCCTGGATTCAAGCGATTCTCTTGCCTCACCCTCCCAAGTAGCTGGGATCGCAGGCGTGCACCAGCATGCCCAGCTAATTTTTGTATTTTTAGTAGAGACGGAGTTTCATCATGTTGGCCAGGCTGGTCTTGAACTCCTGACCTCAGGTGATCCTCCCACCCCGGCCTCCCAATGTGCTGGGATTACAGGCTTGAGCCACTGCATGGGCTTCAAATCTTTTTATACAACTACAGTAATCGAGACAGTGCAGTATTGACAGAGAGACATAGATCAAGTGAACAGAACAGAGAATCCAAAAATAGATCCATATGAATATGCCCATAAGCCCAAGCAATCTGTGACAAAGGTACAAAAGCAATTTAATAGAGTAGAGAGCCTTGCACCATTTGACACGGGGTAAGTGGACATGCACGAGCCAAAAAACAAACAAACAAAACCTTGACCTAATCTCATATCTTAAACAAAAATTAACTCGAAATGGGCTATGGATTAAAATATAAACTATAAAACTTTAAGATAAGAAACATATGAGGAAAAAGTCTGTGGGATCTAGGACCAGGCAAAGAGTCTGAAGACTTGACACCAAAAACATGACAAAAGTTTGAAATGTTTGCTGTGCCAAAGACCCTGTTAAGAAGCTGCAGAGAAAAGTTACAGAGTGAGAGAAAACAACTCCAAATCACACATCTGGTAAGGGACTGATATCTAGAATATGCAAAGAACTCTTGAAACACAACAGCAAGAGACCAAATAATTCAATTAGAAAATGCGCAAAAGACACAATGAGACATTTCACTAGAATGGCCGACAAACAAATGAAAATATGTTCGAAATCGTTAGCTATTAAGGAAATGCGAATTCAAACCACAATGAGCTATCATCACACAACAATCGGAATGGCTAAAATAAAAAATAGTGACAACATCAAATGCTGGTTGGGGGAAACTAGATCACTCATACGTTGCTGATGAGAACATAAAAAGATATGGCCGCTTTGGAAAACAGTTTGGCAGTTCTCTGTAAAACTCAACATGCAACTACTGCATCACCCAGCAATTGTACTCCTGGGCACTTATCCAAACAAATGAAACTCATGTTCACAGAAAAACCTATACACAAATGTTTATGGACGCTTTAATCAAAGTAGCCACAAACTGGAAATGACCCCCGTGCCCTTCAACGGGTAATTGGTTAACTAAACTGTGGAGCATCCATTCCAGGTAAAACTCCACAAATAAAAAGGAACAGACTGGCCGGGCGCGGTGGCTCACGCCTGTAATCCCAGCACTTTGGGAGGCCGAGGCGGGTGATCACGAGGTCAAGAGATCGAGACCATCTTGGTCAACATGGTGAAACCCCATCTCTACTAAAAAACTACAAAAAATTAGCTGGGCATGGTGGCGCGTGCCTGTAATCCCAGCTACTCAGGAGGCTGAGGCAGGAGAATTGCCTGAACCCAGGAGGCGGAGGTTGCGGTGAGCCGAGATCGCGCCATTGCACTCCAGCCTGGGTAACAAGAGCGAAACTCTGTCTGACAACCAAAAAAAAAAAAAAAAAAAAGGAACAGACTGGCTGGCTGCGGTGGCTCACGCCTATAATCCCAGCACTTTGGGAAGCCGAGGCAGGCAGATCAGAGGAGGTCTGGGAGTTCAAGACCAGCCTGACCAACATGGAGAAATCCTGTCTCTACTAAATAGACAGAATTAGCTGGGTGTGGTAGTGCATGTCTACAATCCCAGCTACTTGGGAGGCTGAGGGAGGAGAACTTCTTGAACCCAGGAGGTGGAGGTTGCAGTGAGCCAAGATTGTGCCACTGCACTCCAGCCTGGGCAACAAGAGCAAAACTCCCTCTCAAAAAAAAAAAAAAGGAAAAAAGAACAGACTGCAAATCCTCAGGACAACCTGGATGGCCCTCAGCGGATTATGAATGAGAAAAGTGAATCCCAAGAGGTTACATGCCATAGGATTCCTTTTATACAAGATTCTTGAAAGACAAAGTTCCAGAAATGGAGAACTGACAGTGGTAGCCGGGGTTAAGGAAGAATTCGAGGTGCAGAGAAGATGTGGCTATAAAAAGGCAACAAGGGGGATCCCTGTGGTGATAAAAATGTTCTGGATCCTGTTTCAACGTCAATATCCTGGCCGACAATGTACTATAGTTCTGCAAGATGTTAATCACTGGGGAAAGTGAGCAAAAGGCATACAGTGTATCTCTATTATTTCTTTTTCTACTCTCACAGGGTTTCCCTGTGTGGCCCAGGCTGAACTCAAACTTTTGGGCTCAAGCGATTCTCCTGCCTCAGCCTCCCCAAGTGCTACAGGCACAAGCCCCCACACCTGGGCTTCTATTATTTCTTATAACTGCATATGAATTATGA